CTCCCATCTCTAAGGGTGCTGCTGCCCTCTCCCTGCCTCACTGGTCCTGGGCAAGCCCTTGACCTCCACGATCTCTCTGCTCCTCTCGTGACGACCACAACAAGGGGCTGTGCCAAAGGGAAAGGTGGAAAGAAAAGAGGATGTGCTGTGTGCTGTCATCATCCCTGTGCCAGAGACAGGGCACAGGGTGGTGGCCTCGCACTACCGGGGCATCCCCCACACGGGGAAGCTAGGGTCACCCTGCACCACAGGCATCCCGTCAGCCTCTGGGACACTGACCATGGTTCGCGTGAATGAACAGGCTGAATGGTCCTCAGCCCTCTCTTCCCAGGGCTGGCTGAGCTCTGAGGTGGGAACAGGGCAGACAGTGGCCTGGAGGCCCTGGCAGGGAGGGCACCCTTCTAACAGGCCCTGCCCAGGGGCGTTGGACTGGGCCCCCATCACTGACCCAGTGGACCTTTCCTGAGCAATGGCTAAACGCCAGTCTGGGGTGCCAGGAGCCGAGGGCACCAAACTGAGAGGCAGGACCCCTGAGCTCACCACAGCCCGCCCTGGGCCAGGCGAGAACGAGCACGTCCACCCATGAGGGTTGGGGCTGGGTACACGACTGTAGACTTCACTCGTGGTGGGAGGCTTCCTGGAGGTGATGTCCGAGGCTTGGAGCACAAGTAAGACAGGCAAACTGCCAAGTTCCCAGAAGACTGAGCCTCACCAGATCCTGCGGCCAGTCCTCACAGTGTGGTGTGGGGCTCAGCAGGAACACAGCAATCAGATGGGCCAGGTCAGGATACAGAACAGACATGACAGCTGCTTCCTAAATAATCAAGGGCAGGTGCCCCAGCAGCCGGCACAGCCCCGAGCAGCACCTCCTGCTGTGCCTGTCCCCAGGGTAGCGGGGGCTCCGCACACTCCACATCTGCGTCAGAGCCCCAGCCCCTCCTGGGCCCCGATCTAACACTAAGCTCGCACCCCGCTGGGAAACCCCCAGGACCCTACCTCCTGCTGTGCCACCACCGTCCACCTGGCAGCCCCAGCCAGAAACCTAGAGGCCACCCTGGCTTTCTCCCCTCCCTGTCTACCTGTCCCTCAGCCTTCCTGTGGCCTGGTTACTCCTCTCTCTGCTCCACCTCCTAGCTGGCCTTTAATGTAAACAATCCACCTGACAGCTGAGGCCCACTCACAACAATCCCCTCTCCCTTCCCTGACCCTCGGGGCCCTGCTTGGCCTGGCTGACCTCTTGACACCATGGCCAACTCCTCATGGGTCTTGGGTGCCCTCTGCTGGGCTCCCTCTGCCCAGGGTGCCCTCAGTGTAGGAGCTGGGGTGCCTGCTTTCCCCACGCCCGAAGGCCCTTCTTCGTCCCTCACTCAGCGGCTCTGGCTGGCAGTGCAGCCTCGGTCAGCATTGGTGGGTGCTTCCCGGTGGGGTGCACCTCCTCCCCAGGGCTCCTGCTCCTGTCCATATCTGTGTCCCTGTGGCTGCCAAAGCAATCCCCCTATCCCCCGTGGTTGGAAGGCCTGGCAGATTCAGCAGGCATGTGGGCTGGCCGCCCACTGGGGTCAACAGAAAGGGCATATGACTGCCCCAGAGTCTCATAGTGAGCCGGGCCACCTCATAGGAGGGTGGGCCCCCGGTCAAGGTGGTGGCAGCACTGCTGTAGAGACTTGTAGAGACAAGACTGCTGCTCGGAGACGGAGTGGCAGGTGCGGCTTGGAGAGCTCCCGCATCTTGCCTCCTTCCTCCCCCACCAACCCCGGGCCGTGTCCTACCAGTAGACCTGTGAATGACCAAGGCAGCAAGAGAGCTAAGGGCCGCACAGTGGGAAGGGGTGGGGCCTTGGCTGGTGCCCAGGAGGCCTGAGTGCCCACCAGAGCCACATGCTTAGCACACACTTAGCACAGGCTAAGCACATGATAGCCACAGCACGCCCAGCCTGAAGCTTTCCTTCCTCCCACCTGCACCAGGCCCGTCCCTCTGTGCGTCGGAGCCTGCCCTTTAGCCCCAGGGCTAAACAGAACAGGCCCAGAACAGACTTTCTGCCAGGGCGTGGACTCGCACAGCAGTGTCATGGTGGCTGAGTGGCTTGGTGTCAACTCTAGGTCTCTGTGCCTGCTGGATCACCTAGGACCAGGTGTGACCAGCCCAGCTTTATTCTCTTGTTGAGCAGAACAACAGATTCCCCCAGGGCTGAAGACAACACTGGGGTGATCACAGGACTCACCACAGCTACCTGTGAAGAAACGGCCCCCCGCCCAACAGCCCTGGGGCAGCCATGGATAGGCAGGTGCTGGCCATGGCCCACTGGCACATCACTTGGGCAGGTGCTGGCCATGGCCCACTGGCACATCACTTGGGCTGCTGTCAAAAATCAGAACAGACACCACTTCTCAGCACACGGGCATCCACACTCCACACAGGACAGTTTCCCCTCTCAGGGCTGCCATGAGGAGTCACGCCCTGGCACAGGGACACCCAAGAGCCCCACAGCTCCCTGCGGTCTCCTTTCTAGCCTGAGTCACTGTTTGTCTTTACCTGTCTGGGCCCGGGAGCCCCTGAGTTTCTAAGCCCTGACCCATCGGCAGTGGTTCCCCAGGTGGCGAGTGACTTGCCAAGGCCACAGGGCCAGGAGGGGACGGAAGTGCGGGGCTCCAGCCCAGGGGAGTTTCTGAAGCAGCTCCACCCCAACCTTGCTGAACGGAGGGCTGAGAAGGGGGTCAGGTCCTCAGGGAGGCAGCCAGAGAAGGGCGACCCCAAGGCTGCTCTTCTCCTGTTTCCCAAGTGTACAGGACAAGGAGCAGCTCAGATGGGCCTCCGATGGTGCCTCCTCCAGACGGTCTTCCTGATGCCCTGAAAAGTGACCAGGCTCTCCTGGAGGGCCCCTAGGGGACTGCAATGTGGGCTGTCCCCTGCGCTGCGCTTAGCCCCCAGAATGTAGTTCCTTGTTCACTCCTGTCTCCCATATTGCTCAGGGCTCCTGGAGGGCAGGCCTGAGCCTTCACTCCTGTCACCAGGGCCTGGCCAGGCACTGGTCTAGGGACAGGCCAACCTGCTCTGTGCACTTCTGAGCCTGTGACATGGGGATCCCTGGGCACAGCTGACCTGAGGTCCATAGTGAGCACAGGCTCCAGGGTATGTTCAAATCTCCCCTCCACCCTTCACCAGCCACAGGACGCCGGGTCATCTGCTTAAGCCCTCTATCCTTCGGTTTCCCATCTGAAAAATGGGGCAGCAGCACAGCCTGTCTCCCAAGGCTGGTAAAGAAGCAAGTGGGCTAATGCCCTAAAAAGATGCCTGGCTCAGGGAGTTTCAGTTAAATAGCCACCCTTGTTGCCACCTGTTGGTATGTTAACTGATGCTCACCCATCTATGTTGGCTGGACGGGGGAGCCAAATAACAGACTCTCGCAGCAGCTGCTACTGGCAGGGACGCTGGGCCCTGCCCTCCCTGTGGCCATTGGGCATGCAGGGCCAGGCCTGCTGTGGCCACATCAGTGACCAGTGACTGGGAGACGGGACGCCCACTGCCCCCAGCTACAGGCCCAGCGTTGGGGTCTGGGCTCTCAGGCAGCGCCCAGGGCTTGCTCTTCACCACCCCCACACTGGAGACAGAAGCCAAACAAACCACAGCTGCTTCCTGACTCTTCTTATCTGAAACACACACAGTCTTGGACTCTGTCCCTTGCAGGCTGTTCTCATTACCCAGATTGAAACCAAGCTTCCCAGCCCTGGTCTCTGTTCCCCCGAAGCCATGAGGCTGGGCCCAAATCCCAGGGTCAGGCCCTCGTCCACCCAGAGGCCTCCAAAACAAAGCGGAGGAGCACAGTGATCTTTTAAGGAGATGCAAAGACAAACAGGACCCAGGGCTGCGGTGAGATTCTGAGGGCGCGTCCAGCAAGAGCGGTACATGGGAGTCTCAGTGCACTGCGACCACAGCAGGGAGGCCCCACGGCCCTGCCAGTGAGGTGACTGGAACAAGAAGGAAACCTGGGCCACTCGAGCGCCTCGTCTCTCACCCGCTGGGTCACTTGGCAAGTCACCTAGACTTAGTGCCTGAGTTTCCCCTCTCAGGACGGCCATGAGGAGTCCCGCTCTGGCACATGGACAAGGCTGGTGTACACAGCAGGAACTCACCATGGATCTGGGGCTTCTGCATGGGCAGGAGGGGCAGTGATGAGCTGGAACTGAGCCCCCCCTGGCAGTGGCCTCTCTAGCAAAAGTGGAGGCTGACCGAGGCCTGAGTGAGCTGGAGAAGGTGCCCAGGGGCCGGACTCCTCTGGCTTACACCCACCACCCTCACATCGCCACCTGGGAACCAACAAGCCTGTCAGCTCTGCCTGTGAACACCCAGGACCTCAGTCAGCTCTGCCTGTGAACACCCAGGGCCTCGGTCAGCTCTGCCTGTGAACACCCAGGACCTCGGTCAGCTCTGCCTGTGAACACCCAGGGCCTCGGTCAGCTCTGCCTGTGAACACCCAGGACCTCAGTCAGCTCTGCCTGTGAACACCAAGGGCCTTATCTCTGCTTGTGAACACCCAGGGCCCCAGTATCCCGCCTCAGGATGGAGGTGAAGGATGCCCGTCCCTTACAAGTCTCCCTCAGGGAGAGGAGAAACTCAGCACCAAGGGCTTCGCCCGCATGTGGCCTCACTCCCGACAGTGTGGCTGTCACCTCTGGCCTGCCACCCCAGTTGGTTACAGAGGGCCCGTGAATTTACTCCACACGTTTGGATGCTGTTGCAAACGGAAGCTGTGAAGTGCTGCAGAGGCCCTGAGAAGAGAAGGGCACCAGCACCACCTCGAGTGGGTGCCACAGAGGTGACAGGTGCAAGGCTCGAGGGGGTGGGTGGCCCCAGCGGACGGATGCCTGTGCACAGCATGGGAGCTGCACAATGCTGAATTGCAGGGGACCTGGAGGGGGGACCTTCCAGGGGTGGCTGGACCCCGTTCCCACCCAGCCATCCCTGAACAGCCCCAGCCTGGGCTTCCCGGCCTGCCCCCTTACCGGTGCCGTCTGCTCTCTCCCGACTCCTGGTGTGCTGGGCGTGGGGCTCAGCAGGGGCTGCTGCGTCTCTAACACCAGGGCCAGGGCCAGCCTGGGGTCCGGTGGCTCGGGGCCTTTCGCTCCTCTCCTGCTCCAACGAGGCTGTGGCATTGAGTCGGGAACGCGCCTGGGGCTGCGGTGCTGGTGGGGGCTGTGGGCAGGAGGGGCCCAGCGGAGCAGTGTCGGAGTCCATCCTGCCTGAAGAAAAGTCAGGGTCAGGCCCACCCAGCACTGGCAGAGCCCGCTCGGGCACTTAGTGTCTGCTGGAGATGGAAAAGCAGAGGGAGGCAGGCGGGAGCTGCCAGACACTCCATACAGGATCTCGCGAACACTCAGCACAGCCCCCACGGGCCAGCCCTGCTTCCAGGGTGGAAACCGCGGGAGGACACTCACCCATGTGACTCTACGGATGGCACGGCACTTACAATCCCAGACCGGCAAGTGCCGAGGCCCGGAGTCCTTGCCTCACCGGGCATGAGCCACACAACCCTGACCTTCCCTCATTCAAGAAATGGGGATGACGATAGCAACACCCAGACACCACCCATGTGGAGCCCGGCTGCAGGGGGCTGAATTGGGCCCCACATCATGTGTCCACCAATGTCTGTGAACATGCACTTATTTGGAAAAACAGGTCTTTGAAGACGTACTTAAGGATCTTAAAATGAGATCAGCCTGGAGTAGGGAAGCCCTGGCTCCAATAGTTGATGGCCTATAGGAAGAGGAGGGTCACCGAGCCATGTGGAGATGGGTGACAGCAGGCAAGGAGCAGGAGGACCACTGGCCACTGCCAGAAGCTGGACAGAGGCGAGGAACTGAGCCTCCCTCAGAGCCTCCGGGAGGGACCCACCCTGCTCACACTTTGACTTCAGACTTCTGCCTCCAGAACCATCACAGAACAAACCTCTGTTGTTTTAAGCCACCAAGTTTCCAGTAGTTTCTTACGGAAGCCCTAGGAGACTACGACGCTGGTACTGAGTAAAGTTAAGTAAATATGAGAGGACAAGGGAGCTGGGGAGGGGAGAAGAGGGCAGGGGAGAGAAGAGGGGGAGCCAAGCTGGTGGAGCCGGGATTCATACCCAGCTCTGCCGCTCCACAGCCCCCACCCCAGGCCCAAGCCATGGCACCGAAGTCACAGGACTGATGCCCCAGAAATCAACACACGTGGTAAAAAGCAAACTAGGCAAACAGTGCGGTGGGGGCATCAGAAGAGACTAGAGTGCACAGAGATCCTGTGACCCGTGTCACGCCGGAGCAAGGGCTTTATTTTATTCAACAGAGGCCCTCACACACTGCTTAGCAACATGGAAAAACACCACCATCCCTGTAATGAAGGACAACCACTGGCCACAGACACAGAGCTGAAAGCGTTGCAGGATCCTGAGCCCCGGGACCCGGATGGGGCCCTGGGTGAGAGGCGTTAGGGGTGGGATGCAAACCCCTGACGCTGTTGGACCTTGTACCTGCCGTGTGAGGCAGTGGAAACTCTTCCTCAGATTCCCAAATGACCCTCCCAAGCTCAGGGCCACAGCCATCCTCTGAGGGGCAGAGCAGGGAGAGGCTGGTAAGCAGAGAATCTCGCTCCCAGCCCCAAGCTGCCGCGGCGCTGTGCTCCTGGTTCTGTGCCCACCAGCTGTGTGGTCCTGAGCAGTCCACATCCCTCTCTGCACCTCAGCCTCCTCATCTGAAAATGGGGACAGAGCAACTGTGAGGACCAGTGAGACCAGTCACCATGGGTGGCACGAGGGAGTCCCCCGGCCACCTCTGAACACCCAGTGCTTGGCACGGAGCCGGGTTCCAGGAGGTGCCCAGAGGTCACTTTTGGGGGCAGCCATGACTGGAAGAGTCAGGAGTGGCCCCAGGCTCCCATACACAACAATTTCTGCTCCATTCCCAGCTGCAAATGGGTCCTAAAGATCAGATCCGTGCCGCTCAAGAACTCTGCATATTTCAGTCCACACGGTCCTCCCTTACAGGGACTGAGCCCTCAGCTTAAAACATCCCCCAGGTGCAAACCATGCGTGGTCAAGCTTGGGAGCCTGCTCTATCCTGTTTCCAAGTTCCAAGCTCCCGGGAACTGGCACCTTCCACAAAAGCAGTCATTTAACTGCACGTGCAGACCTAAGTGCCCCCTTAGTCAGCTGTGGCAGAGAAATACAGGATTGCAAGTGGAACCCACATGCTGTGGACAAACAGAACCACGGTCCTGCAGGCCACCGGACCACCTGAGACGGTGAAAAGTCAGGTCTTCAAATGACACATGGCCATGTCTACCTTCTCTCCCATGGTTCCCACTGCCCCCAAGTCAGGTGCCACTTTCTCAGAGAGGGAGGGCACCTTTACTGAGGGCTGACCTACGCCAGGGCATCTCTGCCATTAAGACCAATGGCTCTGTTCTCGGTACTTGTCTTTTCTCATGAGTTCCTCGCATGGACCTGGAAGGTAGATCCTATTGTCATCCCAGAGTTATAGATGGGGAAATGTTTTATCCTTCAACCTCACCCCACTTCAGACAGGAACCCAGGTGCAGGGAGCGGAGGGACCTGCTCAAGGTCAAACAGCTGCAGGTACCAGAGCTGGAAATCAAATCCAGACCTGCCCAATTCTAACGCTTCTGCAAGCTCATTTCTGAAAACAATGACTCTGAAATCCGACTGCCACTGCATCCTCTCTCCCCGGGCCCCATCACCGCAAAACGCTGGTTACCCTTCAACATCAGCGCACAGACACTGACCTCCACACTTCCCTCTCCCCAGGGCCCTCTTCCTGGAGTGCCTTCCTACCCCTCCCCCAGCCTAGACCCTAAGCACCCTTCAAGTCAAGAGCTCCAGCGACACCTCCTTTGTGGGAGCTTCCAAGCTATGTCTCTTCTGAGTCCTTGTCTTCCTCACCTGCTCAGGTAAACATACAGCACTCAGGTGATCACCTCTCCATCAGAGCCCTCCCTCTGCTAGAAGTTACAGCCGGAAGCAACACGGCGTGGGGTCGGTTACCCTTACTAGGGGCCACAGGACCTCACTGTGTCTGTTTCTCTACATGTAAAACGGGGATAGCACCTCCCACATAGGGGTGCTATGGGGATGATGCGTATGATGGAAGAGAAAGCAAACTATTGGGCATTTAAAAAAACCCTAAGCCATTACACCCAGGTGCTAAACAAAGGCACGTTCAGTTGGAAAACACTTCGTAAAAGGAATTTTAGGAAAACAGATTCTAGCTGGCCTATGTACCATGTCACACTGCAGTTAAAAAAAAAAAAAAACAAAAAAACAGTTTAAAGTAAAATCTCTGGTTAGTAAGAATGGATGAATACAGGGGGATTAATTTTCAGGTTCCCTGAGGGTTGGCCAAGTCTGGTTTGGATCAAAGGGCTTGTTATTTCAAAACCAGCAAACCCGATCATGGTTGGTCCCAGGGACAATGAAGATCAGAAAAGATCTCCTGGTGGAAGGACCTGCTGTCTGGTCCCTCCCTGAGTTTTCCTGAGTGTGGCAGCCACTGTGAGCCCTGAGGGCAGGGGCTGCGGCTTATCCACTCAGAAGACCTGCTGCCTTGCCTGGCATATGTTAAGCACTTAATGTATGTGGGCAGAAGCCTGAAGTAGCCTGGCCTAGGGCAGGAGCACCATCCAGGCAATAATGCTGTGGGACCTTGGCAAGTCCCTCCCCCAGATCCCAGCATCCAGGCGTCCCCAGCTACATCTACTCTGTACCCCCAGATCCCTACCTGCACGGTGGGGTGCTCAGCCTCAACTCCCCACTGGTGACCACAGCAATGGCTTAGAAGCCGTCACTGTGTAAGATCCACAAAAGCAAAGTTGCTAGCATTCTTTCCCCATGAGCACTGAGGTGTATTTTTATCCCATCCAAACATAAGGAGTTCAGCGGAGAGGCCGCCACCCGGAGAAGGCTGCAGGGATCATGCATCCACTCAGACCCACAGCAGAATGACCACATGTGGCCTTCTGCCCTAAAGGCTCTGGCCCTCACCCAGGCCACCCCCATTCTGTTCTCTCTGCGGGGGCAACCCCACCTCCCAAGCCAGCGCCTCAGAAACAGCCCCCGTGGGAAGCCGAGGTGATATTCACGCTCTCTCTGATCAGTGCTTCCGCCTCCAGGATGCCAGTCCAGGGGAGCCACTGGAGATGCCCTCGGGGGTCACACACAATGTCTGTCACGTGGCACTTTCAGCACTGTCCAGAAAGGGGCTGGTTATAAAATCTACACTCCTCCATACGGTGCAATGCTGTGCTGTGCAGCTGGTAAATGTGACCTCGTACATGAACATTTCGAGACAAGGAAAAGGTCGGCATAACACTGTTAAGGCAGGATTTAAAGCATTAGCCAGAGAAGATATTAGCAAGAGTCTGTTTCGGATGAAAACAAAATGTATCTGCAAAAAAAATGGAAGAAAATGCCCCCTAAAAAAGATACTTGCTGTCTCTGGGTAAAGATTATGCGTGGTTTCATTTTATTCTTCTTTTAAACATATTTCCCTAGTTTTCTATAATGAGTGTGTAATGTTTTTGAAATTAAAGCAAATGTTCTTTTAAAACCCATCTGTGACCAAGCCCTAAGGGAGCAGGCCCAGGAGGTCCCGGCCCTGGGATGTCTGCTCTGGCATGGCCTGACCCAGCCCCCTGGCACAGTGCTGCTCCTCAAGACAAGGGCACAAAGCCCTTGATGGATCCCAGGTACCTATTTTTGCTCAGAGTATTAAGGGCCAAACCAAGGAACATTCCAGCTCTATCCAATGTGGCACACTGACAGAACACAGAGGGATTTGAATTGGGACTGCCCAAGCAGCAATCATGACAGCCATAGTGGCCAAGCCCCCACCACACACCTGGCACCGGCTCCAGGCCTGGCCTGGATGGGCAGCAGGTGTGGACTGAGGGTAGGTCCATCTTGTGCCAGGCACTGTGCTTGGCCCCCCTGACCTAGAGAAGTCTCGTCCAGGGCCAGCATTGGAACAGCTTCATCTAGATGGGAAGGGTAACACCTAAACAGATACCCACAAAGACGACACAGAAGGGGGCCCTCACTCCACTGTGGGAAGAGGCAGGCCAGAAATCCTGCAGGAGGCCTCAGCTGAGCCTTCTGGACAAGCAGGCAGGAGCCAGGCAAAGTGGGAGGTGGCTGGGCATTCCAGCAGGGGGTGTGCCCAGGAGTGGAGGCAGCAGAGGGACAGTGAGCCGGCCTTGTGGCCAGGAACATGCAGGTGGCTGGGAAGTGACTGCTGGGGAGAGGACACAGGAGGGAGAGGCTGAGTGAGCAGCGAGGCAGGTCCCTGAGGGCCCGAAGGAATGCTGGCTCAGGAGGCGGACTTGACCCGATAGCCCAGAGGGAAGTGGCAGCTGAAGAACCAGCAGGGCTGTGTGGAGCCAGGCCTGGATCGGGACCAGGGAGGACCCTGGGGGCCATCCAGGGAGAGGCGAGGGTCCTGAACCAGGGTAGGCATCCGAGTGAGGCTCAGGAGCCAGGAGAGACAAGAGAGAACCAACTGGGAGTGAGGAATGAAGGGCACAGGCGGTGGTCTGGTTTGCGGCTGGGGCTGGCTGGCTGCAGTGGTACCACTTCTGGAGGTAGGGCCGTGGGAGGGGAGGGGAGCATGTAGGCATAAAGCTCCTGACCTATTATGATTCTTACTGCCACCGTCATGAATGAGTGTTTGGGGTTTGGCAGTGCAGACATCGCTGGGGGTTGAGACTGAGCTGGGGTCTCCTCTGTGACCAGCCCCAGAAGCCTGTCTAGCCCTGGTCTGGGATGGGCAGGGCAGGCCTAAGTCAGAGACACCCTCCATGCTCTTCCATCCTGGGAAAGAAGGTGAGATGGGGTCTCCCAGCAAACTTTCCCTGTGTCTGCGAAGGGAGGAGGACAAAGGAGCAGGCAGGGAAAGAGGTTGAATACAACGGAGCCTCCGTGGGAACCAGAGACCGTTTGAGACAGAAGTAAACAGGTGGGGACAGTGGCAAAGGTGGCCTCTGAGCTTCTTGTGGTCTCCCTACCCTGCTGCAGAGAATGTGCAGCCAGCACACGGGGTACCCAGGGCACAGCTCCTTGAGTGATGGATGCTGGCAGAAGAGAAGGCCCTTTACAAACTGCAAAGCCCTGGGCCAAATGCCAGGGGTCATCGTCCAAGGTGAGGAGAGGCCGGGCTGCTTCTGGAGAGATGGGGCAGAGGCCTCACACCAGGCTCTGCCCTGATCAGCTTCGTGGTCCTGGGCTGGCACCAAACCCTGCTGAGCCTCAGCTTCCTGGGGTGCCAAATGGGGACTATAACTTCTCCACCTAAGGCTATTGAGAGGGTTAAATCTGGGTGGGGGGGGGGGTTTGCACAAATGCGACTTCCTTGGAATTCATAACATCAACTACTAAGTGGGTGAGAGGCCAGGGCGCCATCACATCCAAAAGGGTTGGGCAGGATTCTCCAGAAAGTTTTCGTTGATCAAATTAAAAAACTAATGATCCAGAGGGTGGAGTTTATACGAGGCAGGATCCAGGGGCCACCACTGAACACCCTCAACTCTCTACTGAGGGACCCGGAGAGGGAGAGGAATTGCCACGGTGCTCCTAAGTGGGCTGTGGGGATTCAGAGTGACCCCTAAGCTGCCCCTCGGGCGGGCGGGTCCCCCTGGGGGACTGAACTCCCCTTCCCCCCACAACACCTCACGGGGGTCCAGGCGCGTTCTAGCGACCGGGCGGGCACGGAGGGCGGCCGTGGGTCCCGGGACCGCGGGGGAGGGGCATGACGGGGCAACTCGGGGGCGGGAAGGATGGCGCGGGGCGCGGGGAGGGGGCCTGCTCACCGGCTGCTCCGCCTCTCGGGCCTGCTGTCCCGCCCGCCGCGGGGTTCCAGGCGACAGCGCGCGGGGGCCCGGGGCGCGCCCCCCGAGTAACCCGTTCGGGCCCGGGACAGGGGTCGCCTTGCGCGTTGCAGAGCCGGCGGGATCCGCGGCCCTCCAACTTCGGGGACCTTGCCGGGACTTTGGGACCAGCCACTCATCAGCTCGGAAGGGGAAACTGAGGCCTGAAGCGGGCAGTGCCTCAGGGCTCTTGCCCGCCTCCTGCGCGCCACCGCGCCACGGCCCCAGCCCCGAAGTACTCACCGGCCCGTGAGTGGGCGGCACGCGGCGCCGCGACGCCCGGGGGTCTCTGGGCCGGCAGTAAAGTTGTTCGGGAGCAGCAGAACACAGCAAAATCCGGACAGCGACTGCCGCGACAGAGCAAACTGCACTGGCCGCTGAAGAGCCGGCTAGCGCGGCCCTCGGCACGAGGGGGCGGGGAAGGGGCGGGGCCTTCGGCCGCCCTCCACTCCAGACGCGGTCCCCCGGATGCGGCGCCAGCTCGGCCTGCTGAGTGGCCGGTGCAACCGCCAATCACACCACAACTCCGCCAATCAGAGTGCGCCTCGCCTAGCTGCTGCCCGGCACTCCCCCTGCGCGGTTGGGCCCGAGGGGCCAGAGGGCGGGTCTGGCTCGCCCACAGCGAAAGTTTCCGAGCGGACTCGGGCCCCGGCCCCGCCCCGGCCACAGAACGTCCAGTTGCTTAGAGAGGCCGCTTGCCTTCTCCTGTAACAGGTGGTTTGGACCCGTGGAGGCGGCTCCGGCCACCTTTCATCCACCACTCCGGGCTCAGCGGCCCCAACTGCAGATTCATTACATTTGCTGTTGCAATATTAACACACGTCTTGAGCGCCTATTCCGGCGCTGCAAGAGCGTCTAAGGGCACCCCTAATAACAGCAGCAGAGATGGAAAAATGGGGCCTGTTTGAAACGTGTGTCTGCAGCCAAGTGCCGCTTTCAGTGTACAGAATCAAATGCAATGTAGCAAGCTTTTCACACGGTGACTGTGGGATTCCTTTAAAGTGTGTGTTAGCCCAGGGAGTGAGCAAGGCTCCGGCAGTTTGGAGAACCTCTCCTTTGGTTCCTGTCTGGGAGGCGTGGTTTGGAGATGAGAGGCCCTCGGGCATGTGAGACCCTGCCTGCTCTGTCTCTGGTCCCCACAGCCAACCTGAGATACCTGTCCTAGTTATCACAGCAGAAACTGCGGCTCGGAGTGACTGTTGGAGATAGTACTTACCAACATGTTGGGAGCAGATATTCCAGATGGCTTTGGAGATGAGTTCTGAACACAGTACTTTGCAGGACTTTTGTCAAAGCGGCATAGTTCATGTCAGTCACTTCATTTGATTCTCCAGCTGCCCCCACTGCCCACCCTCGATCCCCAATGTTCACCTGTGACACTGTGAGGCTCGCAGAGGAAGGAGGAAACCTGCCGTGAGCCTCGCCTGCTCTGTCCAGGTTGGCTTAGGGGCTTCACAACTTTCATGGGCCCCCCTGGTAACCCAAGGAGGCAGGTGGCATTGGGCCCATTTTTATTGATGTGAAAATTGAGGCTCAGACATAGTTATTTGCCCAAAGTCTTGAAGATGTCTTTCCACCTTATCATACACTAACTGTAGAAAATTTGGAGAATTACTAAAAGTAGAAAGCAGAAAAAAATCACTCAAAGATGATTACTGTTGACATTTTGAGACTGATGCACATTTAAGAAAATAATAAATATTAATGTGAACACACAATCACAGAGAGGCTGACACACTTCACAAACCCTTTGCAGGGACTCCTTAAGCAGAGAGAAGAGGATAGATTGAAGAGTTCCTCCTGTGGAGGTCTAAGGGAAGAGAGAAAGTGCAACAAAAATCTGCAAGACAGCTTAGGGAGTCTCCATCAGAACACAGCAACACGGAACATACGCCACGGAGCTGGAGACTGAAAAAGCAACAGGCAAATTCAGAAAGAGAAGAGTGGAGGTAAGGACAAATGAGCAAACTGGAAGATAATGTGGAGTACATGCTGCATGATATAGAGGAAAAGCACTTGAAAATCATCAGTACAAAAAGCAGAGACTGGAAAGACAGTTCCAGGAGGTGTATTACGCAAAGGACAGGTACTGCAGGAAGAGCTATAGGGGAAACAGAGGTTAGCAAAGTGCCAGGAGAAAGTGTCCCTGGGAATCCCAGATGCCAAGGAAAAAGAGAGGGTATTGCAGAGTTCCAGAAAGAACAGGTCACATCTAAGGGGAGGAAAGTTGAAGTGGTTCCTAGGGGACTTTGGAGCAATGTCCAGGGACTCTGATTATAGGATCAAGGATCCTTACCGTGGCTACTACAAGATTCATCTGTCTGGACAAAAGAAAGAAAATATCCAATGTGGCAGGACAGAGAAAGGACCCCAGCCATGTCCCCTTTTAGAGGAAGATATTCAGAGTTCCCCCGTCACTGAGACAGTTCAATCACAGTAGAGATTTCAAGATAGAGCAAACGCTCAGAACAGGAAGTGGTGTTGAGCAATGACCCTTGCAAAATATACAGTATGGCTAATCCACATGTGCCTGTGATTTTGTAACTAGCAATGTCACATAAGGATTCTTAAAACATAAGCTACATGCTACAAGAGAAAGTTGTATTAGCCTGGAACTAAAAAAAAAAAAAAAAGAATAAAATAGAATCTTATCATGGAGAAGTCAGAATATTTTAAGATCACATTTGGTTGAGGGGAGAAGGAGGAAGTAAAAGGATCTGATTTGGTGAGTGGGGAAGGAAAGCCTTTTGGTAGTGGAGAGGGGGGTTCATTACCATTTACTTTTAATACATTAGCAGCGGAAGATTGGTTTAATTATGACTCTCAGGAATTGGAAAGTAGCAACTCACGGGACAGAAGCAGAGTAGAACTCCTGAATTACTAGGTAGAAGTTGGGGGAGGGATGGAGGGAGAGTAAGGAAGCAAAATTAAGGGGGAAAAGTAAATACTAGCAAGAACAATAAGCTTAATGACAGTAAACATGAGATAAAATAAATAAAGCCATGGCTACCAGACTTCATAACACAGGTGAATGGGCTGAATTTCCCATCCAAAGTCTGTAAGATTGGGGCATAAACTAAAGTCCAGTTAAGCGCTATTTACAAGAAACACACCAAAAATATTGAGAAGTAGAAGCTCACAGCAGACATTTGCAAAATGGCAAATTACTATTGATAAGGAAGACTGCGTGGTGGAAAGCACTCACGGGAACAGAGTGGTATTATGTAAGGGTGCCAGGCACAATCCACAGAGATTTCATTGTCATGAATCTGAATGAGCCAGAAAATCTAGTAGCCACACACTTAAAGCAGTAACTGCTAGAAATACTAGAACTCATTAAAACACAGCTCTGGTGGGAGAAAGAGCCAGCTGTTCAATGCTGTCTCTTCTAGGACGCCTGTCCTTGTTCCACCAAGAGCTGAGCCCTGCGTGTTGCTGTTGAGTATTGAATGAATGAATGGATGGATGGATGGATGAATGAGTCACCTATGCCAGGACTTCATACAAGCTCTTTCTTGCCCACAGGACAGTGTCCAAACTCTTTAACCTGACATCCAAATATGTCTCCCACAATTCAGTCCTTTGATGTCTGCCCATGATTTTCAGACTCTACATTCAAGTTCTTGCTCCACTTCCTTCCCTACACCTATTTAAAACCTACTTCCATTTACTCAACAAACGTTTACTGACTTTTGGCCGGGCGTGGTGGCTCATGCCTGTAATCCCAGCCCTTTGGTGGGCCAAGGTTAGTGGATCACTTGAGGTCAGCAGTTTGAGACCAGCCTGGCCAACGTGGTGAAATCCCATCCCTACTAAAAATACAAAAAAAATTAGCTGGGCGTCATGGCGCATGCCTGTAATCCCCGCTACACAGGAGGCTGAGGCAAGAGAATCGCTTGAACCCAAGAAGCGGAAGTAGCGATGAGCCGAGATCACACCACTGCACTCCAGCCTGGGCAACAGAGTGAGACTCCGTCTCAAAAATAATAACAATAATAATCATAATAAAATAAATACAAATTAAAAAAAATGTTTAGTGACATCCCGCCTGTTGCAGGCATTGGGCTACATGCCAAGTACTCAAAGGAAATGAAGACAGAGGCTTGGTGAGTTATCATCTGAAAGACAGCAGAGTTTGGGGGTTTACAGGCTATTGGGGTACCAGGCCCCCAACAAGATCACTTCCTGGAGCCTGTGAATGGCACCTTATTTAGAAAAGGGTTTTTGCAGGTGTGATTAAATAAGGATTTTTGAGAAGGAGCCATTAGCCTGGCCGATCTCCTTGCAGGAGAGAGGCAGACAGAGATTCGGCCACACACAGAGAAGTTGATGTGGACATGGAGCAGAGAGAGATTCCAAGACGTGGGCATTGAAGATAGGAGTTCTGTGGCCACAAGTGAAGGGATGCGGGCAGTCCCTGGACTCTGGAAGAGCAGGGAACAGATTCTCCTTGATTTTTGCCCAGTGATACTGATTTCAGACTTCCAGCCTCCAGAACTGTGACAGAATCCATTTCTGTGGTTTAAACTACCCAGTTGTGGCAATGAGTTTTTAGCCCACTGAGTTAATGAGATAAAAACAACATGGGACAGGCATGGTGGCTCACACCTGTAATCCCAGCACTTTGGGAGGCCAAGCCCCAGGGATTGCTTGAGCCCAGAAGTTCAAGATCAGCCTAGGCCAGGCGCAGTGGCTCAAGCCTGTAATCCCAGCACTTTGGGAGGCCGAGGCGGGTGGATCACCTGAGGTCGGGAGTTCAAGACCAGCCTGACCAACATGGTGAAACCCCATCCCTACTAAAAATACAAAATTAGCCGGACTTGGTGGCGCATGCCTGTAATCCCAACTACTGGGGAGGCTGAGGTTGCAGTGAGCCAAGATCATGCCATCACACTCTATCCTGGACAACAAGAGCGAAACTTCATCACAAAAAACAAACAAACAAACAAACAACAACAACAAAAAAACATGTGGCGCTGGCTGGGCGTGGTGGCTCACACCTGTCATCCCAGCACTTCAGGAGGCCAAGCCCCAGGGATTGCTTGAGCCCAGAAGTTCAAGATCAGCCTAGGCCAGGCGCAGTGGCTCAAGCCTGTAATCCCAGCACTTTGGGAGGCCGAGATGGGCGGATCACGAGGTCTGGAGATCGAGACCATCCTAGCTAACACGGTGAAACCCCGTCTCTACTAAAAAAAAATACAAAAAACTAGCCTGGTGAGGTGGCGGGCGCCTGTAGTCCCAGCTACTCCGGAGGCTGAGGCAGGAGAATGGCTTGAACCCGGGAGGCGGAGCTTGCAGTCAGCCAAGATCGCGCCACTGCACTCCAGCCTGGGCGACAAAGCGAGACTCCATCTCAAAAAAAAAAAAAAAAAAAAAAGATCAGCCTAGGCAACATGGCAAAAACCCATCTCCACAAGAGAATTTAAAACTCAGCCAGACG